ATTATATTTTAACAAAAAAATTAAAAAAAAAATCTGCGCTTTAAGTGACGCGGAGTCTGCTCTTTAGCTAGCAAAACAATATTCAGTCAGTGTCCTACTACTCTTGTCAGAGCATGGTGACCTCTCCTTCGTATTTCTGCGATGTGTGCTATTTACACTTTTACGCAAATATATACGGGACCTACAGTTTAACAATACTAATTGTTACAAAACAATATTAATTGCTTTTATTTCTAAGACTTATTATTTTATTTATTTATCTTTATACCGCAAAAAGTCTTCAAGTCCGCATGCATCCGCACACTATTCTGGCACAATACAAGTGTGTTTAAACGCCATCTGAATATTGAAGGTTTTAGATTTAAATTTGCTAGACAGTGTAATTTGCTTAAAAGAGTTCATGCATTTTTGGATTTAGGAATCATTTTCCATTAAGTATACATAGTGAAGACGATATTGATGAAAATGAAAAAATAAATGAATATATATGTATAACGTGTTTATACAGGGTGTCTCAGAAATTTTAACACAACACTCGTATGTAGGTAGAGCTGATTAAACTAAATCAAAAAGTTTTATATTATTTTAGGAATAGTTTACGAGAAATTAATTATTTAAGATTGTCGAATCAGCCCGTATTCGCCCGGCTTACCACCAAATGCAAGCGCGCGGCGAGATACGACTGCGCTTATGCGTTGCTAGGCGCGAGGAGTTGTCTACTACAAGCGGGAATGGTTTTTCACGAGCGGCGCGAGACGCTGGAGCCCCATTCTAAATCAGTAAGCGGGGCAAATACGTACTGATTCGACAATCTTTATATATAATAATTATATATAATATATATAATAAATAATAATAATAAATAATATATAATAATAACTAATTTCTTGTAAACTATTGCTATGCTAAAATTGTAAAATGGTACAGGACTTTTCCACTTAGTTTAGTCCGTTCTACCTGCATACGAGCACTGTGTAAAAAATTCTGGGACACCCTGTATAATGTACATACATAAATATGTAAATAAATGTACTAATGAAAATAAGTGTAAATATATAAATATGTAAGTGTAAATATGTACATAGCCTATAAAATTACGTATGTTACCTAAACCTAAACCCTTATCTTTCTCATCAGGGTTTGGAACCTGCAATGACGTTACCTTAGGCTATATACATATTTACATTTACATTTACACTATTTTATATTTAACACACTTACATTTACACTATTTTATATTTGTACAATTACTAACATATTTATATTATTTTATATATCTGTTTTGTATATGTAACCTGATATGCTTTCATATTTTTCTTTTATTCAATTATTTCATTTTCATCAATATTGTCTTTACTCTCTCCAATTGAGTCTATATAGTAATAGGTATATACTTAATGGAAAATGATTTTTCAAAAATTGTGCTGGCGTGTGTATATTTGTATTTTCTTCCTGTTAAATATCAGACAAATAGAAATTAATATTTTCAAAATATTAATAAGATAAAAACAAATAGAAATTTGCAGACAAGTTTCAACAAAGTGATGAAATAAACCATTGGTTCTTTCCGTTCAAAGTGTAAAAAAAATTTTTTCCCGGATACTAGGATTTTTTTAACTTTAGCAAGTGAAATTGAGTAAGAAAAAAGGCGAACCCAATGATCTCTGTGTGTTTCTCAAATCGTTGTAAATGCGTGAACTCTTTTGTTTCAATAATTGGTTAAAAAAGATTATTTGTTTTAATTTTGTATGTTTTTCTATATGGTTTTGTGTAGGATTCAGGAGTACTGTGGGAGATTAGGTAAGTTTTTTTATATTATTTATACTAAATTTTGTACGCTGTTATAACGCTGTTTTGCGCTAATACAAAGCTGGTACGTTCACAAAGTGCTGTACTATACGCTTACAAAGAACGAGTGTTGTGCACCCGCAAAGATCAGGTGTTGTGCGCGTGCAAAGGTTGAGAGCTGTGTGCTTGTAAAGGACGAGCGCTGCGCGCTCGCAAAGGGCGAGAGCTGTGCGCTCGCAAAGGACGAGAGCTGTGCGCTCGCAAAGGACGAGTGCTGCGCGCTCGCATAGAACGAGTGCTGTGCGCTCGCAAAGAACGAGTGCTGTGCGCTCGCAAAGGACGAGCGCTGCGCGCTCGCAAATATCAAGTTTTATGCGCCTGTAAAACAAGATTGTTAAGCATTTGTCAAGAAAGTTTACTATTTGTTCATGTTTAATAAAATGTCTATAAAAACAAAAGATATTATTTTAAAGTCTATCGATAGAGATATAATTGTTCAAGGCGAATGGCTTACGGACGTTCATATGGATCATTTCCAACGACTTTTAACAAGTTGTTCAGATTATAGACCTGTCGAAACATGGAGGATACAATTATTAAATACAATACAACCTATGTCAAAAGATAATAAGCATATACAAATATTACACAGTTCATCTGGTCCATCAGATGGACATTGGGTATGTAGCTATTACGACAGAAGAAATATATTTATTTATGATTCGTTAAATAATAAAACATTGCACAAACATCATGAACAATTCTTAAAAAGATTATTTCCAACATATGACTTTCACAAACATCCTGTCAAATTTCCTAATGTGCAACGTCAACCAAATTATAGCGACTGTGGTGTTTTTGCTATAGCTTT